TTCATGTATAGAAGTGGCCCCTTATAGCCTCCTCTGAATTCTTGAGAAACATTTGCATCTACTGTGGTTATTACAGTGTCGCTTACTATTAAAATTATGGTTTCTGGAACCTGGCTAGTACATTTAGATAGAAATAGAGGTTAAGAAATGGTGTTAATTATAGTTTATAGTTCTGCATCTCTATTTTCACATATTGCTGTGTCTGATGCTTGTACAACCACTCCCAGGCACAGAAGATTTTGGATGATCTTGTTGAGAAGAATCTTGAGCTTGTAAGAAATACTGATCGCAATCTCCAGGATAGCAATCCTGAAGCAGATGAAGGTGTCATCCGACTATTCAGCAAAGCACCACGTGGCATAAATTTAGATCCTATTGGTAAATAATCTATATACAGTCATTCGCATCAGCACTAGTCTCTGATTTAATGAATTCAAGTTCTAATGCTTGTCGCCAGATCCATATTCAGTGCCACTTAAAAGACCAAGGATTGTACCGGGAGAGGAGATTGACGAGAAGTCAAAGAAGGTTTTGATTATTAATGTTCTTATATATTGTATTGGTATGGTATCTGATGTATTTTATTGATTCTGGCCGTTGAATGGTTACAGTTCAGACATCAACTACGAGCTGTTGCTGTTGATGGTGTTGATATAATGACCACAGCTAGACATGCATGCCAGAGAGCACTTGCTCGTTTGGAAGCTAAAGATGCTGCTGCAAAGGCAAAGGCCATGAGTGAAGAAAAAAGAGTTGCAGAACTGAAGAAGATGAGGGGAGAGAAATGGCTTCCTTCAATTGCGAGAGACATGCAGGTTTGCTTCTCATATTTAACCGGTAAATTATTTATTATCTAGTTTCTGGAGAATGAAATGGAACCTTATTAGTAACTGCTTAGGATGTTAGGATACACCCCAATAAAAACGCCTCTAACGGAGACGCAATACACAAAATAAAGGCACAAGATCAACCAGAGTACTCACAGATATACGTGGTTCACTCCTTCGGAGCTACTCCACGGTGCAACGACGACGCCAAATTCTTTTATATCCCAAAAGAATAGATCAAAGAGAACACCCTCTCTTGATCAGATACACTCCAAGAACTCTCACAATCTCTCTCTGTGTTTTCTCTCTTACTCTTCTATAAGAGGAGTTTCTGAGATGAGATTTTCTTAAGAGTTTAGGGCCCTATTTATAGTGTTTGAGAAATACTATGCACAAATAAAATATTATTAGTGGGACCCACCACTAATAATAAATAATTATGGGACCCGCTATCTTTTCCCATTTTTCAAACAAAGTTAGCCACCAAATTTGATTTGTCAAAATAGGTGGGCTGTGCTTTCGGCTAACAATCTCCCACTTGAAGATTTGATTGAATATCAATCATATCTTCACACCACTCTTGGTTGCATCATCCGGATGTCTTGTATCTTTGGCGTCTTGCACGGTCCTCAATATTCTCAACGGAGGCCATATGAGGCTGCACACAGCCTTACCTTCTCGAGCGAAACTGGCTTGGTCAGCATATCGGCTGGATTATACCTTGTATCAATCTTCACAAGCTTGAACTCGTTCCTGTTTTGTCATCTCCGTATGACATGGTGCTTCACGTCAACATGCTTGGTCCGAGCATGGAATGCGTCGTTCTCTGATAAGTGAATGGCACTCTGACTGTCGCAGTGGATGAAGTATTTCTCAAAGCTTACTCCAAGCTCGAGAAGAAAAGCCTTCAACCATAGCAACTCCTTTGCTGCCTCTGCTGCAGACACGTACTCGGCTTCGGTTGTCGATAAAGCCACAATATCCTGTAACTTGGATCTCCAACTTATCGCTCCACCACCCAAGATGAAGATGTAGTCGCTCGTACTCCTTCTCGAGTCTATGTCCCCGGCATAGTCTGCATCACAAAAGCCCTCTAGATGCAAATCTGTCCCGTCATACTCAAGATAACGGTCGGATGAGCTTCTCAAATAGCGTAGAAGCCACTTGACGGCACCCCAATGTTGTTTCCCTAGATTGCTCATGAAGCGGCTCACAACTCCCACTCCTTGTGCAATATCTGGCCTCGTGCATACCATCCCATACATCAAACTCCCGACGACAGATGCATATGATATGTTGGCCATGAACTCATGCTCTTCAGCAGTCTCTGGTGCTTGGGTCTTCGATAGCTTGAAATGGCTTACAAACGGCGAGCCCACTGGTTTAGCTTTCTTCATGCCGAACTTTTCAAGAACCTTCTCAATGTAAGCCTTCTGAGACAACCTCAGCCTCCATGTTGATCTGTCTCTGATGATCCTCATTTCCAGATTCTAGTTTGCTGGACCCAGATCCTTCATCTCGAAGCACTCGGAGAGACGTCCCTTGAGTTCCTCAATGCGGACCAAGTCGGGCCCTGCAATTAACATATCATCAACATAAATCAAGAGTATCACATAGGATTCGTCGTATCTCTTGATGAAACAACAATGATCTGTGTCGCATTTGAGAAAACCGTTCTCCTCCATAAAGTTCTCGAACTTCATATACCACTGTCGCAGAGCTTGCTTCAAGCCATACAAACTCTTGCGTAGGCGACACACGAGGCCCTCCTTGCCTCGTTCCTCGAAGCCCACTGGTTGATGCATATAGATCTCTTCCTCCAAATCTCCATGAAGGAATGTCGTCTTCACATCCATCTGTTCTAGATGGAGATCTCGAACTGCCACAATGCTCAGCACAGTTCGGATCGTGATCAACTTGACGACGGGAGCGAAAACGTCAGAATAGTCTATCACTGCTTTCTGCTCATAGCCCTTCACTACAAGCCTCGCCTTGTAGCGTCTCCGTCCATCGGCTTCATCCTTGACCCTATAAATCCACCGATTGTGAAGAGTCTTTCTCCCTCTTGGAAGCTTTACGAGCTTCCAAGTCTCATTCTTCATCAATGACTTCATTTCTTCCTCCATGGCAGACTCCCACTCGTCCCGAGCTTTGTCGGTCTGCTGTACCTCCTCATAGTTCTCTGGCTCATCACTGTCAGTCAGGATAAGATAATTCATGGTGGAAAGGTACCTTTCTGACACCCTTGGATTTCTTGGAGCTTTGCGAATTGTGATCGGCAGCTCTGCTGGATCCTGTTGCTGTGCATCCCGCACGTTCTCTTGGTCTCCGTCTTCTATGCTGATTGGTATCTCACCGTCGTCCTCACTGTCAGCAATATCTGGGAAAAGAGGGGGAGATAGTTGACTCTCACTCACCTCTTTGGTCTTGTACACCGCATTCTCATGGAACATGACGTCACGACTACGCATCACCTTGCACGCATCGGGATCCCAGAAACGGTATCCATACTCATCTCCTCCATAGCCGATGAAAAAGAGCTTCTTTGACTTTGGATCAAGCTTTGACCGGTCTGCAGGATTGGTCATGACATAGGCGTCACAACCAAATACTTGTAAGTGTTCTAGTTTCAGCTTCTTTCCGGTCCAAGTCTCTTCAGGTATCCCATAACTGAGAGCCGCGGATGGCCCGCGGTTGATCAAGTATGCAGCAGTATTGACACTGAGAGCCGCGGATGGCCCGCGGTTGATCAAGTATGCAGCAGTATTGACAGCTTCAGCTCAAAAGCTCTTGGGCAATCCGGAATGGATCCTCATGCTTCTGACGCGCTCCAAGATAGTACGATTCATGCGCTCTGCCACTCCGTTGTGCTGAGGTGTCCGTGTGCCTGGGATGGTCTTCAGTCTCCGAATCCTACGGGACGAGCAGAAGTTTTCGAACTCCTGGCTGCAATACTCGTCTTCATTATCGGATTTTAGGCACTTCAGCTTATTGCCTGTTTCATTCTCCACACAGGCAAGCCACTTCTTGAAGATGATGAAAACATCTGACTTGTGCTTCAAGAAGAACACCCACAGCTTTCTAGTAGCATCATCAATAAAAGTGACAAAATAAAAAGAGTTGCCAATAGATGAGACTTGCGCAGGTCCCCACACGTCGGTGTGCACCAACTCCAATTTTTGCAGTTTTGGAGCCGGTCCGGTCTTGTTGAAGCTCACCTTCTTTTGTTTGTCTAGGATGCAGTCCTCACAGAAAGTCAGATCGATCTTGTTCAGACCCGAAAGCCTCTCTCCCGCGGTCATAATCTGCATCCCCTTCTCGCTCATGTGGCCAAGTCATCGATGCTAAGTCATGCAGTCGACGGATGATGATGATGATGCTTGTCCTGCGGCAAGCAAGTGGTCGATCTTCCCGTTGGCGATGTAGAGAGACCCCTCGCGTTTGTCGTGTGCCACCACCAGGGCACCCTTGGACACCTTCCAGCTTCTCTGCTCAAAGGATACTCTGTAACCGGAGTCAGTCAGTTGCCCGACTGATATAAGATTTCGCCTGAGATCCGGTACATGCCGAACATCATTCAACGTCAAGGTGGTCCCGCCCTCCATATTAAGGGTACAATTTCCCTTCCCGGAAACCTTGCAAGGTTGATCGTCGCCAAGATAGACCGATTTCTTCGCTCGACTTGATTCCCCACTCGACAGCAGCATGCGGCGACGGGCGACTGCTAAAGGCGACTGACGATGGCTAGCGGCGAGCGGCGACAGCGAGCAGCAAACAGGTGCGTTTTCTTCTCTCTCAGCGATGATTTTCTGCTCCTTTTCTTTTTTTTTCTTTTCATTTTTGCGTTTTCTTTTTTTCTTTTCTTTTCTTCTCAGCGAGAAGGTCTGTTCAACGTCTCAGGCCCGATGTTTTTTTTCTTTTTTTTCCGTTTTTGAGTTCTCTTTCGTTTTTGAGTTCTCTTTCTCTGCTCCTTCCCGATGTTTTTTTCTTTTCTTTCTTTCTTTTTTTTTTCTTTTCGTTTTTGCGTTCTCTTTCTCTGCTCTCAGCGTTGTTTTTTTCTTTTCTTTTTTTTTCTTTTTGCGTTCTCTTAATTAAGGAGTAAGGACAGCGAGGTGTTTTCTTTTTTCTTTTCTGATGTTTTAAAATCTGAGTTTTTAGTTGTTAACTGTTAAGTGTAAAATGTTAATTAAGTTCACTCTTCTAAACTTGATTTGAATCATTTGATTTTATTGTTAACTAACTTATAAAGAGAGATTTAATGTTAACTAACATAGCCTTCCTAGCTGTTAATTTTTAATTTAATTTATTTTATTATTATCGCTCTTGACTATTAACTGTTTTTTTTCTTTGGCTTAATATCAAAATGCAAAGTCATGATATTATGAACTAATTGCTTGCTTCTTATTAATACATATCAGCCATAAATGTTGAAAATTTTCAAGCTTATTGATGTAGTACTAATTTTACAGCTACTATTTGATTTCTTGTGCGGGACTGCTAGTATTTATTCTTGCTATTTGAGCTAGGTGTAGTACTACTGGTTGAAACTTGAAACTTGATTCGCCATTTGTAACCTGGAAAGAGGAAAATAAAATTTAGCAATATAGTTGTTAGTGATGCAATATACTAGAGATAAAAGTTTGAATAATTTGCATGATTGAATGATTTGTTAGTAATTAGTATATATTTTATTTATCTGGAGTCCTTGACATTTTTATGTGAAATTTCACAAAAATATATATTTATTCATGCATATAGTATATCTTCAAAAATTTTGTAGTATGGAGTGCGCCTCGCTTCGCTCGGGCGCGCGCATCGCATTGCGCCTTGCGCATATGCGTGTAAACTGACTTTGCGCCCCGCATTGCGCCTCGCGCATTGAAAACACTGGGTACAATTTCCTTTCCCGGAAACCTTGCAAGGTTGATCGTCGCCAAGATAGACTGTCCTCAAGTCCTTCTTCACGAACGATGAAAACAGCTTTTGTTGTGAGGTTGCATGGAAAGATGCGCCAGAGTCGATGACCCACACATCGCTTTTGTCTTCTAGGGATAGGAGAAGTGCATCCGAATCCGTCTCGTGCATGAGATTGGCTGCACCGTCAGCCCGATCATCCCCTGCTGATGCTGGAACGGTAACTCTGCAGTCCCGTGTAATGTGGCCCTTTTTTTCGCATCTGAAGCACTTCCCTTCACCGTAACCATTCGGGTTAGGCCCTTTAGACTTCCCTCTGGATTTTGATTGGCCTCGTCATCCCCTACCCTTCTTCTGTGCACGTCCTCGTGCCTCGACATGCAGAGCACTCCCACTGCTAGAGGCCTAAGCTCCTGAGACTTTGCGGCGAGATTCTTCATCCAGAATTGCCCCAACCACTGTGTCGAGCTTCATCTTGTCATTACTATTAGCGTTGCTCACCGCCATCACCATATTCTCCCATGAATCTGGTAGACAAGAAAGTAGCAGAAGAGCTTGGATCTCGTTGTCGAACTTTAGATCTACTGCAGCAAGCTGTTGCACCACAGCCTGAAATTCGTTCAAGAAGTCCGCCACGCGAGCTCCTTGCTGCATCTTGAGATTGAATAGCTTCTTCATCAGGTACACCTTATTTGAAGCAGACGGCTTCTCATACAGCGCCTCCAAGGCCTCCATCAACTCCTTGGTGGTGGTCGCATGCGAGACGTTGTAAGTCACATGCTGGTGAAGGTTGAGCCTGATGGTGGCAAGTGTTTTACGATCGAGTACCTTCCACTTATCGTCGTCCATCTTCTCAGGTTTCCCCGCCTCTCCTTGGAGGGGTAGGAAGAGATCCTTCTGGTACAAATAGTCTTCTATTTGCATCTTCCAATACCTGAAATTTTGGCCGCCGAACTTCTTATTTCGAAGCCTGTTGTCTTCAACTGTAGATCCCATGGTGAAAGATTACGTTTTTCCCGAACCGTATTTGTGAATAGTACCGTATCCGTGAATAGTATCGTACACGTGAATAGTACCGTACACGCGAATAGTGCCCAGTGCCTTAAAAGAGTAAATATTAATCTAACTTATTTTCTGATGTGGAGGATCCACTTTTAGTGGCAGCCACAGAGCATACAATAAGCAGATATATATACTCTAAGTCAGGCTCTGATACCAGTTGTTAGGATACACTCCAATAAGAACGCCTCTAACGGAGACGCAATACACAAAATAAAGGCATAAGATCAACCAGAGTACTCACAGATATACGTGGTTCACTCCTTTGGAGCTACTCCACGGTGCAACGACGGCGTCAAATTCTTTTATATCCCAAAAGAATAGATCAAAGAAAACACCCTCTCTTGATCAGATACACTCCAAGAACTCTCACAATCTCTCTCTGTGTTTTCTCTCTTACTCTTCTATGAGAGGAGTTGTTTCTGGGATGAGATTTCCTTAAGAGTTTAGGGCCCTATTTATAGTGTTTGAGAAGCACTATGCATAAATAAAATATTATTAGTGGGACCCGCCACTAATAATAAATAATTATGGGACCCGCTACCTTTTCCCATTTTTCAAACAAAGTTGGCCACCAAATTTGATTTGTCAAAATAGGTGGGCTGTGCTTTCGGCTAACATAGGATATAAGCCATAACAACAGCCAATCTTTGCGCGGCAGCTACAATCCTTTTTTTATGCTTTCTTAAAGGGTTCTATCTTCAGTTAATTTGGTAAATATCATATTGTTTTCAATTGTCTCCATGATCAACCTTAGTCTTTTTTCTTCATTGATTTAATCTCTCCTAGCAGCACACCTAAATTCCTCTATTGCTCATGCCAGTCATCTTGTTTTGCTCTCTCTAATTTGACTTCATTGGGAGCATACCCCTTCAACTTATGAATCGTGTATTCTTATCCCATTTCTTTATAAATAAATAAAAAGAAAGGAAAAAAATAAAATAAAAAATTACAATGACTCTCAGCACATTTCTTTCCATTCCCCTCTTAATTCTTATTTCTGGTACACTAATAGTCTAATACTTCGGTCACTTTTTTCTCTCAACTTCCAAACATTTCTACATCATAATGCAATGTTGACCTTAACACTATTTTATAATATTTCCTTTTATTTTTTGTAATTTGCTACAATCACAATGCTCCAAAAGCACTGCTTCACGTTAGTTATCATTGTTTTGATTTTATTAATCATATCCTCCTTGATCTCATCATTGTTTTAACAATCCCTAGATCCAGAAGCTTGCTTGCCCCATTCAACTTCTTTGGACGTGACATAAAATTCCAATGCAAAATTATGACTACTCATTCATTTAATTGCCAAACTGCAGGGGCAAACCTGAACACAGGATGCTGAGTAGAGAAACTTGGGACATGGTAAATCATTAATGTGAGTTTCTCTCTTCAATTTGATGTAGACAGTAATCTACTGCTGTTGTTAAGGGAGAATATTGCTATATAATGATTCAAATAGTAACGTTTTATTGTCTTGCTCTCTTCAGCTCGATAATCTCACCTTTGTTTCTTTTGTACTCAACCTTTGAAGTGGAGCTACCTTTTGTGCAAATAGAGTTTGTGACCTTCAAAGGAAGTAGCTTCTTATTAAATCTAGGAGCCAGCGTGTCTTTTAAGTTGAGTTTAGATGTTGCTTCTTATTTGTTAGCAGTTTGATGACCCTGACCGATTATAGGTATACCTACTTCTTTCTTTTCAAAAAATATGGGAAGGCTGTCATTCATTTATTATGAGCCTATGTATGGTATGTGAAACTTTAGCTTCCCTTTGCTCTCAAAATCAAACTTTTTGTTTCTTTGAGTTGATTATTGCTCGCTTATAATTCTTGTACTCTGATCTGACATGAGATTTGGACATTTTTGCTTCTGTCTCATTTGGATGGATCGATCGATAACTAGCTGAAGTTTCCTGATTCCTGATTTGCAAAATGAAGTAAACCTTGTCTTCTCTCTTTTCCTTTATTCCAGTTGAGGAATTTCAAATTTCATTATATCTTTTTCCAGAAACTTTTCCCTTCAATTACGGGATTTTGACATGGGAAGTAAAAAGACTCGTTTATTTTAGGTTAGCTAGCTGTTAAGTTGAAAGGTGCAGTGGAAAATTTGTCTACTGTGTTCACCTAATAAGGATTTTACTTGACTGAAACCCATTAGATTTAGGATGTAGTAGTCATTTTTTAGAGGAGTCTACAGGGATCAGAGATTTGTGTATCATTTATTGTAGACAACTCCTTATACGGGTTAGTAAGTTTGGTTAAACTGGGCATTTTTGTTTAACCAGAACCGGTAACTCTATTAGGGGTCCACTGGGAAATTTGAAGGTCTAAGGGGGTTTGTGAGACTCTCAACAAAGTCCATGGGTGCTGCTCAGTGGATTTTGTGAAGTTCAGTTTTGGTTGGATCAAGTATGAAATTTACCCTTCAGGGGGTTTTCGTGGGATCAAGTATGAAATTTACCCTTACTGGAGAAAAAAAGAAGAAAGCTGCCTTCCAAGAAACTACCATCCATTTTCTAACTACTGTTGCAAAACTTAAACCCACATTTGAATCCTGGTTTGTGTGAAACAACAACAGTCAATGTGGACCCATCCCTACTCCGTCTCTTTCCAATTATATAGAGACAACCAGCAAGCATCACTCAACTAACATCTGCAACAAGAAAAAAATAAAGAAAAGTCTACGACTCCAAACTAACTATTGTTTTCTCTCTTCCTCTTTATTAGCAAAGAAGAAGGGATACAACTCTCTCATCATCATCTACATGGGTTTGTTGTTGGCAATGGTTGAAGGTCTGGGGATTTGCGCGTTGACGATCTGGGCTCTGCAGGAGAGGAGGTTCGCTACGATGTTAGACACTGCGACCTCCGCTGCTCGATCGGTTGTTTTTTCAATCATGTTTTGTGTCCTTGTGGTTAGTAGATGATAGACTGTTAGATTGAAGTTTCCCCCCTTTCCTTTTTTTTGTACTGTATGAATTCAAGTTCTGTGGAAATCAAATGGAACTTGTGCTTTCTGGGAATTGACAGTGTTTCTTCTATGATAGAATATAAAATTCTTCCTCTTCAGCACCGGGAGATAGAATATAAAATTCTTCCTCTCCTCGGACCTTTCCGATGCTCGGAGTGGAGAACCCACTCCCAGTTCATCATTCCGGATTCTGGGGGTAGGGGATCCCACCTCAAGTTCCCTTTCCGGCCGAAGATAGAATATAAAATTCTTCCTCTTCAGCACCGTTAGACATAGGCTATGGGATTTTTGGCAAACCCCCAGCCATCAACGGGTTTGACGTGCCTTTACCGGTTACCGTTTGAATCGGGCTAGCATGTGAATTATTTAAAACCCGTTTCACATGTAACGTTGTGCTAAGAGAATTGCTTCTCTTAGTCTTTGTGCTATGATGTTGAATACATAGATGCTGTTGTCCTGTTAATTGAAGTGTTGCTATGTTTTTCTTGTGCATATCTTTATGATGGAACTAAACATAAAGTAATTAGATTATGGTGCGCCGAGGGTAGAAAAGGAAAAAAAACTTCTCTTTGATATAGTATTCCCTGAATTCTATTAAGCTGTATAAATCCAAGAATAATCCGTCTTTGGACCATTTAATCTAACAGGCAAGGATCCCTGGATCATTTTTTTAGGCGAGAGATTTATTATTAATAACAAAGCTTAACTATTGCATATATCCACTGTTAGCCGTAATAAATATGCTCCTGCATTTTTAATTCCTGATATAATAGATGAAAATGTTAATATATATAATTGTCAACAATAAAATAAGGAAAAAATTATTCGATGGAGATGCGGTCAACACAAGCTCTGTTATTTAGGCCCAATTATAGATGAGTCCGCCCAGAGGATAGCCCGCTCCCTTCAGCAACAGTTCGCTTCTTTCACGAATCAACTTCTCAGTCGGATTCCTCCTCATCATCCTCCATCCATCACCCCTCCCCAAGAAGAACCACCCTAGCGACAAATGCCGGAGGAGCGAATTGGAGATATCACTTTCCCACCGCCTCTACAGCAAACTCGTTTCACCGCTCATCCATGACAACTGCCACACCTCATGGAAGCAACTGGAAAAAATTCGAGTCTCGGCCCTAAAAATGATACTTGGGCGATGTCACACAACACCAGATACCCCCACATTGCTCCAGACCTAGTAAAAATAATATATCCTTCCACCACCAACTTTATATATGGTTACGATAAGATCTTTAACATTATTGTAGATGTCATCGGGGGAAATACTCCTCACCAGCTGGATCATGGATGCTTTGTGCCCTAAGTTCAAGATACTCGACATCGAGAAATACAAGAGCGAAGGAGATCCAGCTAAGGATGCACAGATTTTTTATGATTTAATGCGCCATGCAACAAGTAAGGGACTCGGTCATCTATAGAGCCTTCCTAATCACCATAAAGGGTAGTGCAAAGATGTGGTGGAACTCGTTGGACAAGAAGTCCATCCATAGCTTTGAGCATCTTAGCCAAAAGTTTATGCACCACTTTTTGATCGACACAAAGCAGAAGGCTTCATCATTCATTTTGTTGCAGATGAAACAAAAACCTGGCGAGAGCCTAAGAGATTATTTCAAAAGGTTCCAGACCAAAAGGCTAGAGGTAGAGGACCCTAGCAATATGGTTGCCATGACCGTAATTGTTGCAGGGCTAGAAGATGAAAAGTTGTTTGACTCTCTCATCATGAACAATGTGACTGATTTTGACCAACTGATGGTTAGAGCTCAATCACACATAGATGCAGGAGACAGTTGAGCCCACAAGAAGACGACCCGACTAGAGGTAGCTGAAGCAAAATTCTCTTGGAGGAAGAAGGTTGAAGATGATTCACCCAAGGGTGATGCCAGGTGCGGTCGGATAGACAAGAGGTGAGCTTCTGCCGACCCTATCAATAACATACTCAACTCCTCCCATTTAGCTTGAGAAAGCTCATCAGTGCGGTGGGCAAAAGGCCACTCGAAACTTGTCTCTTGGCCTGCCTCAGAAGTAGGACCCTCAGTCATTGCTTTCTAGGCAATCGGGGCCTCTTCGGCAGCAGGCTCCTTTCCAGGTCAACGAGTAGACTGGGGGGGTCCAATAGACGTCGCCGCCTCCTTAATTTGTGTCGCAACGCCTTTAAGCTCGGTCATAAAGAAATTATCATCCCCGACATCCCACACTAGGGACTCATCGTCCAAAATGATGACTGTAGGCTGTCTAAAAAATTACTGCAGATAGCTTATCCCCATTAAAAACTAATGATAGGAGTTACAATCTGACGACTCTCACATTTTTAAGGAGCCAAGACGAAGGGTACAAAATGACGATCTTTGTAACGCTCTAGCAAAAAAGACTACAAATTAACAGTCTCTTCAAATTAAAACGCAAACATCTCTTAAACCATAAGAAATTTAGTGAAATGGATAGGAGCAAACCGAACCCTTTGAGGTTGGTTTGGTCGGTTCCGTCTCGTCGAGATAGCCGATTTTCATATATAATTCGTCAAATTCTGACTTACAAAGTTATGACATGTTCTTCGCAGCAAGTTATGTTCTGGAGTCCATCTACAAGACTGGACTTCGTCTGAACATTGGAGTTAGCCTGAAACTCGCCAAGCCCACCTGAGGCTCGCCTTTGCATTCCAGGGTCAAAACGCAGAGTTCATCTCCATGACAAAATGCAGAGTTCGTAGAATTAAAACGCAAAGTTCATGCAGATCCTAACTCTGCGTCCCAGGTCCAAAACACAGAGTTCATGCAGAGCCCATCTTTGCGTTCCAGGTCCAGAACGCAGAGTTTATTTCTGCGTCTCAGATTCATAACGATATGCGAACACTGCGTTTTCAGCCTTAAGCACACGTCCCAACTCTGCGTTTCAGAGTTCACAACGCTATGCAAACACGACGTTTTCAGCCTTAAACAGGCCCAACTCCGTGTTTCCGTTCTAAAATGCAAAGTTCAGGCCCAGAACACCATTTTCGGCGTTTGATTCATTCAAACACGAGCTGAACAGTTCCAGCCCCCCACGATTTGAGAGATTTTCGCCCCACTTATGAACGGATTAAGGGGGAAGTTACTACCCTCAATCCCCTAATAAATACCATAAACTCAATTAAGTTCGGGGATCGGTTTTTTACATCAAAAATGTAGAGATCGACAACCTCTTGAACAGATCATCTTGGAGTTTCCTTTAGCAACAAAGTTCTTGGATCTTGGTGCCTGGCTTAAAACCAATTTTCGGTTCAAATCAACTCTGTTACAGAGTTTAAACTCGCTTAGAGTTCTTAAACTCGTTAAGAGTTATTTTCAAACTTTCCACGCAAGTTATCCTCGATATCAATCAAGAGTAATCTATTGGGGGGGGGGGGGGTGATTAGGGTCTTATGCTAATCTAATCCGATTTTATGCCAATTAAAACTTATTATTAAATTATTCTTGTAAGATAGATATACAATATGTTTTGAGCAAGAATATACAATATGAACAAAGAGATATATCCTAGCAAGGAGGTATATGATGAAATATATGCAAGGATATACAAATTAACACAATGGTGAAATAAACATAAACAAAACAAGAGTGATAGTGTGCAACTAAACAATACAAACACACAATATAATCACAAAGTTCGGACCTTCTGTCGTACGTCTCCGCTCCCCACTCCTGGGGAGAAATCCACTATCACAACCGGGTTTTCTACGCTTACCCGAACAATGTTTACACCTCACACTCGGTTTTCTAGCTAACCGAAAACTTTACAATCATCACTCTTGTAATCCCACTCTACACCCTCTCAAGTGTTGGACCTAGATGTTGTTTGGGTCAGAAATCGCTGTTTTCATTGTGATTGAATCTATTACAACTTTAATCGTTTACAATAAACTCAAATAAAAATTTGATCTTTTTATAAGATCTTCTTATACAATGAAAATACAAAAGATACGACTCTTGTCAAAACGCGCAACAGACGTTTATCACCCTCTGCTTGCGTGGGAACTTTGCCTGTGCTGGAGACGTTAATATCTATGGATCGCCGCGGATCAGATCCGGTTGACAGATTGATGATCAAAGCTCTTACTTCACAAAGGAAGTAATCGCTACAGCGATGATCTCGACCAAGCGAGATCACAGCTCTTCTCGAGATTTAAGACTAAGCTTAAATCCGGAGGAATATGGGACGGGTCTCGAATATGGGTGTTATCGGAGCGGATACGGTTCGGATATGACATTTACCATATCCATATCCGCTTTTTATAAACGGATACGGATACGGATACGGATCACCCTCGGTAAGAAAAAACCTTAACCATATCCGCATTTATCGGAAACGGATACGGTTAGGATATTTGAGAATCGGATCGGATATGATCACGGATATAAACGGATATTCGATATAAATCTATTAGACATATAATCTTCATACAAAACCATCAATTAAAAACTAAAATTGAGCACAAATTTATTAGACATATAATCTTCATCCAAAATCTTCAAGAGCACAACCCAACTAAAACAATAGTGTCAGGAATTGTAACCAAACTACAACAATCATATCCAGAATTTCAAAGGTTTATGAATTTAAAGCAGAGTTTCGATTCGACCTTATGCAAAAGACGGCGGATCCGACAAAGACGAAGCGGGCGAGATCCGACGGCCTGAGGATAACAGATCATTCAGTAACAGATCATTAAAATCCAATTTAACTAAGTTCATTCAGTAACTAAGTTCATTAAAATATAGACAGGAAGTGTATATAGACAAGAAGTTAATATAACAGGAAGTGCAGATTTGTTTGCCTGAAGAGAAATTCCTAGATGGCCACGTTGTCACTACGGGGTTTGGTGTTCAAGAAAAAACACAAGCTTCCAGAATAAAAAAACACGATTAGTCCTTAATTAATTAGGGGAACTGCATTCAAGCTCTTGTTGACAAGTAATGAGATAATCAAGAAACTCCATGCATCTTCGCTGACTCTTTTCAAGTGTATGGATCATTTAATAACCTTAAAAATGAAAGTAGC